CGCCGCCGCAGAGTTTCCGCGCAGGACTCCTCTTCCGATCCCCCTCTTTTCATACAGAAACAAACACACACACCCGCGCGCACACACACACACAAATAAAAAAATAAAATGGGGGGGGGGGGGGAGGAGAAGGGAGGGAAGGAGGGAGGGGGAGGAAGGAGAAAAGAAAGCGGATTCAACTTCTAATTCCGCCTAGGAAGAGAGAGAGGGAGGGTGGGGAGGAATGGGAGAGAGGGAGAGGAGGAGGAAGGAGGAGGGGGGGGAGGAAGGAGAAAAAGTTTGGTCGGGTTCTCCTTTCGCCCGGCCCGGGTTCCCCCCCCCGGGTCAGCTCCCGGCGCGGCGAGCGGGGTGCGCGGGGCGGGGGGGAAGGTGGGGTGTGGGATGAGGCGAGCCACGGACTGGTGACAGGGATGCCAATTTCCGCCGCCACTCCAAAAACTTGCTTAGGAAATGTTTTCATTTACAAGGTTAATTTTCCTCTCTCTCTCACACACGCGCTCTCTCTCTCTCTTTTAAGTTCCTTATAAGACAAAGCTCTTCAGTCCTCTCGGCAGCAGCAGCAGCAGGGAAGATGCCAGTGGAGATGTGCAAAATAAATAACATTTGATCAGTTCAATCTGTAGCCCAAATCCATTATCTTTCTTTTTTTTTTTTTTCCTCCTCCTTTTCCTCTCTCCCCTTCTCCCTCTCCTTTCCTTAATCACTTCTTCGTCTTCTTCTCCTCCTTCTTGGCGGTGGAGAGCCGAGCAAGCGGCGGCGATGAGACGGTAAATTCAGTCACTCCCCCCTCTCAGGCTTTCTCCGAGATCAAAGAGTCTCAAAGCGCAACTTTCTCGCTCGCTCGCTGGCTGGCTTGTTTCAAGCTCGTGGATTTGTGTGGTGTTGTTGCTGTTGTTGTTGTTGGGGGGTGGTGGGTGTTGTTTGTTTGTTTTTTTATTGCGTTGATGATAGTTTGTTCATTGTGCAAAAACCGAGGTCGATCCAGTCTCTCCTTCTCCTCCCAGCACTTAGTCTAAGAGCAAGAAAGCAAGTAATAAAAAGGCGTAAAGCCCCCATACATACATATACACCGGATGGGAAATGTCAGTCACTCCTCCACCTTCCAAACAGTCACAGATCAAACAGTGTCACCACCGGAGAGGACTACTTTTCTTTCTTGCTCTCCTTTTTTTTTCCTCCACAAATCGAAGATTCTTCTGATACTAAATATAATGCAAACACATTTTTTTATCATGGATTTTTTTTTTGTTGATCTTGATCTGCAACAGAAGAAAAAAAAAAAACACACACACAAAAAAATTGCCAAAACCAAGAAAAACCCCGGAGAGTGTGTGCAAAGAGGAAGGGGGGAGGAGGAAGAAAAGACATTCACTGAGTGGGACAGATTAACATGAACTGTCCCCCCCCCCACCTAAACTCCTGGGAGAGAAAGAGATCCACTCTCCCTCTCTTCTCTTTTCACTGAAATATAACACACATTCGGATCCCAGGGCTCTCAGACAGCCTCAACTGATAGACAGACACATCGAGCTGCTTTTCCTGCTTCAGTTTGTTACTCCTCCTCCTCTTGCCCACGTCACCCTGACAATTACAAATAGGTCTCACACAAACCCATACCTGTCAATCTTTTTAATTGCTTTGTTTTCATTTTTTTCCTCCCCCTCTCCTAGAGCTAAACAATATGAAAAAAAAAAAAAAAAAGAAGTCTTAATACAGCGCTGCATAAAAGATTCCTCATGTGAGACACTCGTTGAGGGGGTTGTTATTATAATCCACTTGCCAAAGTGCTGTGCAAGACGCATGTGCCGATGTAACTTCAGCAGAGGTCTTGTTCCAGCAAACTTAAAAAAAATAAATAAAACCCAAAAGGAGGCAGGAGGTGATACCTCGCCATGGCACACATCGAACGGGCACCGAGTTAAAAAGATGATTTGTGGGAGATTACACTTCACCCTGACTTTTAAAATACCAACAGATTGCAGAGCAAGAACTGCAGCACACGAAACACGCTGCTGTTAATACGTTTCGCACAGTATGTGTCTGGGGATTTATATAATGTTAACTGCGAGAACAGAAGGGCTCTTCCCTTTCTTTTTCCTCCACTCAAGAAAGCAAATAAAAACTACGCAGCTAATTCCTGGAGGAAAACACTGGGCACTGAAATTCTGCTCTTTCGGGGAATAGGTGACATTTTTTATTATTACTGCCGCAAAATTAAGCAGCGAGGTGTTTACACTGGTAGGATGGAGTTAATCCTAGAAGTACTACACGTGAGCTGCTCCTACACTGGTGCAACATCTCTACAGCGTTATCCCCCCCCCCCCCCCCTCGTCCGCACAGTTTTACCAAGTTGCAATCGGCGGCTCCATCACACCATTTACTTTGCTCCCTTCACCCAGCCGATTTCCTGCGCAGGTTCCCTCACCAAAACATACTCTACACCAAGAGGTAACACAGGTTTGGAGGTTTTAAGAGGAAAGAAAAGGTAAACCACGTTTTTCTGTCAGTAACAGGGAGCTTGGGGGGGGGGGGGGGGGGCGGACGACCGCGACCCAAATGAACTGACAGCAGCCAGTCAACCTTCGCCTCCTTTCAGAACGGCGGCGGGAAGAGAGGGGGCGGACCGCACGGCATTCCCGGCGGCGGGAACAGCTTTCGCCTCTTTAACTCCCCCTTCCTCTTCCTTCTCCTCCGGCTCCGCGCCTCAGCTCCCTCAACGGCCGTAACCGCCGCCGCGGCGCGCACCCCGTTCTCCGCGCGCGGTCGGTCGGTCGGTCGGTAATGTCTCGGGGTTGATTCGTAGCACCTTGCGAGGAAGTGAACGTTTCGCACGGAAGGGGCGGAGCCTCCGCCCGCGGGCAGCGGCTCTTCGGAGGCGGCTAATAACAACACTGGGAGATTAGCCGCAACTTCGCTGCGCTTCTCTCACCGACCCGATAATTCATCGTCCTTTCCTCCTATCTCTATATTATCATCTTTTTCAGAACGATAACCTCTTTTTGTAAACTAAAGAATGGGCTGGAGGGGGAGGGGATCCGTGGCGTTTCTCTTTTCCTTCCCCTTTTCCCTTTCTCCCCCCTTCCGCGTTTTTTAAATCCCTTAGCCAGAGGCAGCGTGCAAATTAAAAGCAATCTTTAGGAAGAAATCCGGCTTTCCGTACATCTGCCTCACTGGCAGGCAGAATACGACCCCGGTCGCCGTCCTTGAGGCACGGCGGCGGTGCTGGCGGGGGCAGGCAATGCTCGTGTGTGTCTGTCTATAGTGTGTGTGTGGCCAGGCGGGTCGGGTACGGCAGAGCCGGACGCAGCCGCTGGCAGCGAGCTGGCGGGACGGACGGCCGCGGGAGCGGGCCAGCGTTGCTCCTCGGTAGCGCTAGCGACGGCGGAAGAGGACCGGCTGCCGAGGACCATCTTGCGGCTGCTCCTCGGGCGGTGTTTCCGCGTGGCGGAGAGGCCGGCTGGGTGGGAAGGACGGAGGCAGGCTGGAGCTTGCTGCACAGGGCTTTATTTACATACATTAATAGGTGCCTGAGGATAGTTTCTCCTGACGGCCCGGTGGCGGCGGGTCCTGCGAGCCGCTTGGAGAATCTCGAGCCAGAGCTCTCCCGAGCAAGGGGAGAAGAGGAGAGCCGAGGCAGGGCATGAGTTTTAGAGCAAAAAGCGGCGCTTGGCTGAGCTCCCGGGTACCGCGGTGCTGGTGCTGGTGGTGGCGGCGGTGGCAGCAGCCGTCCTGCGCCGCTGCGGGTCCCGCCTGGTCCTACTTCGGTGGCAACCGGCCGCGGGCCATCCTGGACATGTCCTACTCCCGTCACTTTCTGGATTTCCAGGGCTCGTCCATCCCCAGCTCCATGAAGAAGCTGGTGGTGACTAAGCTGAGCCAGAACTTCAGGGAAGCGGTTACCCTGCAGCAGGACTCGCCCGTGCCACTCCCGGGAGACGGAGATCTCCTTGTCAGGAACAGGTGAGCGACCGACTGTCGTCGTCGTCCCCCCCCTCCACCGCGTCCCGACCTCGGCCCCTGCCCCTTCTCGCACCTTGTGGCCTGCTCCCTCACATACGCTCCCTCACTTCGGAGACCGGCTCCAAAGTTGAGCCAGCTGCCATCTGGCGACTGTTAATTTAATTTTATTGTTGTTGTTTTGAGCGGCTGGTGCCGCAGTCCGGTCGCCCCATCTACGTGTGTGGGGGTGACACTTCCCCCTCCTCCACTCCTCGTGTTTCTCTGGCGGGTGTATGTGTTTGTGCTGTTCCTGCCCGAAGGAAGGGGAACACCTCAGGGCCCCTGTGCCAAGGTCGGGAAGAGGCAAGTTTTACACTCTTTGAGCGCCGAGGGTGTAGTGAGGCGCCGCGAAGAGCTTGCAGAGTCACTCCCAGGGCTTGTCACACGCACACAGTCCTCGGGCCGTGAGTGTGTCTCCACCGTACCCACACAACTGTGGGGAGACGCTACCGTACAGCCGTGTGCCCCAGGACCCCGATGTGCCACCCTGCATCTGCTGCCCTGCATGCCTCTGATCTCTTCCCTGCTGCGGCCTGGCGCGGCCAGCCCTAGGCCAGCCGTGACTCACAGTGGGCAGAGGGCTGGGGCTGGCAGCCCTGCCAGCCCCGGCACCACCCCGCCGCTGCGCGCTGAAGGCGGGGGCAGGGCAGGGGCCCAGCCCAGCACAACCCGGCAGCGCCGCGGCCTCCCTGGGCCCCGCAGTTGCGGGCGGCTTTTCGGAGTGTAGCCAGATCGGGCGGGGAGTGAGGAGGTGACATTTTGCTTAACATAATACGCCGTAAATCCTGCGCCAGCGCTAGGACTGAGCGTGCAGCGCGGTGACCAGCTCGCCATGAAATGAAAACTGAGGACAAAACGTGCCTCCCCACAGCTGTCTCCATAAACCTGCTCTCAATGGCTCCTTCCTTGTTCCTTAAGCTAAAAGTAAGCCGGTTAAAGTTCAGAGGTTTCTCTGCCCATGAGGGGAAGCTGAAACTCTGGGAACTTTGGAGCAGACTGCGTGGCTGGCACAGAAGAGAGCAGCACTCTCAGGTTCTTGTCGAGCAAGGAAATCGTAGTAACACAGTTTGCCATGCTCTCTGTTGGAGCATAAAGGTGTTAAGAAGTACTAAGTTGGCTTGAGAACAATGCTGAAAGTTCTATTAAGGCAGTGTGTGACTGTGTGTGTATGTGTAATCTCTAGCATGTGTCCATATGTAACATAAATACATGGTAAAGAAAGGGGTAAGGAGAAAGTAGAACAGGAGCTCCTCCAGAAGCTGATGAGAAAGCTTCTGTGGTACTTTAATCCGATGCTGACATCTCCCACTAGAATTTCTGAAACCGAAATTCCCTCTAAACCTCAAATTCTAAACCACTGTGTTTCTGCATCCACTAATGACCATGAAACAATAATGGCATGAAATAGACGTCCGGCTGGAGTTTAATTTCTTTTCGTGGAAGAGGTCGAGGGACTTGTGATACAAGTAGCAAGTCTGTAGTTGCGTAATGTGAGGCAGAGTGACATCCTTGTTTCCCAAATCCCCTTCCCCCAGCTCCTGCACTGGAAGTCTTTCTCATTCTCATCCTCCTCTCTCTCCCCCCTCTCTCCCTCCTCCCTGAATTTAAAAAATTTACTCAGTTTTTATATAGCTTCCAGTGTAACCCTTCCTTTCTCTCTCCCCTCCCTTTGCTGGGTGGGCTCCGTGAGTGCAAGAGGGACATGCACACCTCATGGTGAGAGTTCTGAGGCACAGAGCTCACCCAGACAGAAGGCAGAAGCTGGTCCAGAGTTTCAGACAGGCAATTACTGGGGTTTAACACATCAGCCTGTTACACACGTGTTCCCGTACAGACACACACACGAGTGGGGAGGGAGAGGTGAGTGGTAAAGGCTAGATTTAGAGTTCATACATTTTGTATTTTTTGTAGTGTTTCTTCTCTGTTATTATTTTCTGGGGAACATCACAGAAGACACAGGATCCTTCCCTGTGTACGAGCTGCAGCAGGAAGCGAGTTCTGAATGTTTCCCCCTCAGTTGTCACTCTGGGGAAGCATTTTCCTATCCTGAAATGATGAGTCCCTGGTGCCGTTTATTTTTGCTTCTTTTTTTTTTTTTTAAGCCATAAATGCAACTATACATTTTCTAATAGGTAGAAACATACAATTAAAAGCAAAACAATAAAGGAGTCAAGTCCAACAGTGCATTTGCAGATTTGTTCATTTTAGTCCTAGTCACACCCATGAATAGTATTAATTGCTTTGAGTTTTTCATGCAAAACAGTCCTCATCCACCACAATAAAATCTGTTTTGGGATTTAGAGAAATGGGAAATGAAAATGTGCTGAGTTACTGTATGGATATTTTAAAATAAGATGCAGTTAAGGGGAACTTTCTTCCCCTCTTTCTTCTCCTTTAGAGAACTAAGCCAGCAACCCTTATGTCTACTTTTTTGCAAAGAAAAAAATAATCCGTCCTTTGTTCAGAAATCCTTCAAAACTATAAATCAATTGAAAGTACTATTTTACTTCAATTCTGTGCAGAAGAGGAGGAGGGGAAAAGGTGAATTAAAAAATCCTTGCTGGAAGCCACTTAAGTTTCATATGGCTGTTTGTCCTGTTTTTTTGGAGTGAGGGAGAAGATGAGGGCAACGTTACTCCGTTTTATGGCAGGAAAAGGACTGAAAGGTTCTGAAGACCTGGTCCTTCTTAAAGTTGTTGGGGGATTTTCGAGATTTGCTCAAGGCAGTGACACATCTAGTTTCCAAAATACATGTAAGGGCTTCACTGTTGGCATGGAAGATGGCAACAAAGTTTCTAGAAAAAGGAGTAAGAGAAAGTTTTTTGAACCGAGGGACTAATGGATCACAGTGGGATAAACGGAGAACTGTTTCTACTGAGTGTTTGGTCTAAATAATGTTTTTCTTGCATAGTACTGGTTTGGATGACTTTGTTTTGTCTGTGTTTAAGGCTGTGGTGCTGGTTTTCAGTGTCTCACGCTTTGTTGTGGTATGAAAAGCAGCATTTCCTCCCCTCGGCGGTGTCCTCCTGTTTTCTGTAATAAACAATACGATGGGTTCAACACTGTTGAGTATAAATAAAACGGGTGACTCAATGTGCGTAATTATTTTGGGAAAAGCCAGTCTCCAGCTTTACCCCCATCCCCCCACCCAGGGGTTACATCTTTTAATGATAAAGGAGCAACCCTTAGTTACAAACTGCTAAATCAAATAATGGATTTTTAAGTAAGGAAGTAAAACAAGACAATGTAAAAGATTTGGAAGAGGTCTTAAACCTCACCAGCATCCCAAGTAGCTGTTACTTCTATGTTCTCCTTTTCTCAGTCTCAGAAGTTAGTAAACTGATCTCCATCTTGTAAATCGTACTTATTCCTACTTAGAAAAGCAAAATAATCTAAGAAACTGCGGGCACATCCTACCAACTCCCTTCTGTCAGCTGGAATGACAAGGCAAATTAGACAATATGTTTTAATCCAGATCCTGCATACCATCATTTTAATGTGAGAGGAATCCAAAAGACTAAACAATCTTTTTTGAAAAAAAAAAGAAAGAAAAAACAACAAAATAAACGCTGTATGACACGAGCAGGAGTTTTGAGTTCGCACACAATAAAAAGGGAGCTTACAAAAATTAGGGGGGGGGAGGGCCGGGCTGCAAACTGTATTGATTAATAATGGTGAGCCAAGGAGAACTGTTTCCCGTGGCCCAGCAGCCCCACGGGGACGGGCAGGGAGCTGCTGTGCACGCGTGTCTCTGTAACTATGGGGGGGGGGGGAACGCGACGACCCCCCCGCACATCGGGGCAGCGCACACGGCTTTGTCCTCCCTACCCCTGCCAGCGCAGGAGCCGGCAGGGACGGGCAGGGTTACCCGGCCCGCCTGCTCTTCTCTCACGGCAGCACCCGTTCTTGAGGCCCCGGGTGCCCGGCCGCCCTAGCCCCGAGGGAAGCTCCGCACGGTGCCCGGAGAGGCGGGGAGCGGCCGGGCAGTACCGAGTTGAGCGCCGTGGCCCCTTGTATCCGCACGCACAAGTTGCGGTGCGGCCCGGGGAGGAAAGGTTTGCATCCTTCTCGGCTCCGGAACAGAAGCAGCGGTGCGTGTGCTGTTGTCCTGCTCGTCAAGCGTCTGGCCCGCGGCGCCACCTGAACCTTCCCCGCATGCAAAGTTTTTGTCCTCGGACGGGGTTTTACCTGTCTCTGTGCTGTCCCCGCTGCAGAGCAGCGCTGGGAAGAGGGGCAGTTTCTACAGGGAGGGGATGGGGGCTTATTCTGGCGCCCCTTCTCCAGGGTGCGTCCGCCGGCAGGCACTGTGCGGTGCTGTGCGGTGCGGTGCAAGTGAGGAGGGGGCTCGGCCCCGTGGGGAGCGAGGACCTGACTTTCGGGCTGCGGCTGGTGCGGGGCAGGGTGAGCGCCGGGGGGGGCGGCCTGGCAGCTACCGAGACCGCCCAGCTGGGAGAGGGGCTGAGAGCGGGGAGTGGGTGAGCACGGCTCCCCTCAGGCCTCTCCCCTCCGCAGGAGTTGGGGTGTAAAAGCGGGAGATGGGTAGCGAAGCGCCGGCACGTCTGACCTCGGTGGTCCGAGCCCTTCTCCCTGGCGCCCGGGGGACACGGATTGCCTCGGAAGCTGCTGCACTGTTACCAATTTTTATCCGTCTTTTAGCCGTGCTATACGGGAGTTACCTTAAAGCACGGTAACAGAGGATTTTTTATATTTACGAACGAGACGTAGGCTTTTTTTTTTTTTTTTTGCGGCTGAGCAGTGAATTAAAGTCAGAATTAAAAAGAGCAACAGTCACTTTCTCCTATCTTATGCGTGGTGTATATGTTTATGCGTACGTGCCTTTTTATACATAACACATTACTGTGGTGAAAGTTTGAGGCCCCCCATGCTATAAAGAATGAAGGAAACAAAAATGAGCAAAGCGCTTCTTAGTTCTCCTTGCTCCGTATGCAAGCAATTTTGAACTACACACACAAATTATTTGAGCCTACTGCTAACTGCAACAATTAAAGTGCTCTGTTTGCATACTTCTGCAGCTTTCCCATGGTATCAAGTACACCTTTCAGGTTGTCACTTTCCATGTGTTCTAACAGTCCTGGTGTTTTCTGTTGCATATGGGTTTTTTACATTTTCCAGTTAACAGAATCATCCCCTTGTTTCTTCCCTTGTCTGTGTGGAAATACTGTTATGTTTGCGTTTTTTAAAAAAAAGAGTGTTACTAAGATATTCTTTGTGTTTCAGCTAGATTATAACTTTCTTCTAGGCATTATTTCCTAGTGCTTAAACAAGTTGTGAGAATGTCTCCATGATTTTCTAAAACAAACAAACATAAAGCTGGCATCCTTTTTCACCTGTTAGAGGTCAGTAGGACTTGATACTCAGTCTTACAGTTTTAGTCCTTCTGTGCAAGGTTGTTTTGATGTGTTGCAAGCAATTTATATAAAGAAAAATATTTTAACGCTGACATTAGCTACATCAAAAGGCACATTTGCTGTAGTGACTCCATCAATTAAAAAGTACTTGCCTACAGTAGCATGACCTTGCAAATGACATCGATAGTTAATATGATCATTAGTCATTAACAGTATTATTATATTCAAAAATGTAAATTTGTTGCCAGAATCCACATATTTACTGCTTTGTACGTTTATTCTTCAGTGTTTTCACGTCTTGCATAAAGTGCTCAATTAATTTTCATCCTTTAATCCTTTGCAAAATTATTTTTAGTTTAGGTCAAATGGACCTAAGGAAAAGACAAGTTTGGTTTTGGGCTGTTTTTTTTTTCTGGAGGGGGGTGGGATTGGTTTGGGGGTTTAGTGTTTTGTTGTTGGTTTGGGTTTTTTTTTGGTGTTGTTTGGGTTTGTTGGGTTTCTTTAGGTGGTTTTGGCTTGTGGGGTTTTTTGTTTGTTTGTATTTTAGCAAATCTTTAATTCTAGACTAACAGAATGTGAACTGGAGTGTACTCATTATACAGATAGACCAATAATCAGTAAAAGTCTTGTACTTACCCCACAAATTTAAATTGAACGTTTCTCATATGACAAAGACTTGGTAAGGAATGCATCTCGTTAATACTTTTTTGTTTTCTTCTAGATTTGTCGGCATTAATGCATCTGACATAAACTACTCAGCTGGCCGATATGACCCATCAGTTAAACCCCCATTTGATATAGGGTTTGAAGGTGTCGGTGATGTGGTAGCGTTAGGACTCAGTGCTAGTGCCAGTTATACAGTGGGTCAAGCTGTGGCCTATGTGAAAGCAGGTTCCTTTGCTGAATACACAGTTGTGCCTGCCAAACAAGCAGTTCCTCTACCCTCTGTGAAACCTGAGTTTATTACTTTAATGGTAAGTGGCGCTACCGCATACATCAGTTTGAAGGAACTGGGAAACCTGTCTGAAGGCAAGAAGGTTCTGGTGACAGCAGCGGCTGGAGGAACGGGTCAGTTTGCTGTGCAGCTTGCAAAAGCGGCAAAATGCCATGTAATTGGAACCTGCTCCAGTGATGAAAAGGGTGGTTTTCTGAAATCCATTGGCTGCGACTATACAATCAACTATAAAACTGAAAATGTTGAAGCTGTTCTTAGGAAGGAGTACCCTGAAGGTGTGGATGTAGTGTATGAATCTGTTGGGGGAAAGATGTTTGACTTGGCTCTTAACTCCTTGGCTACCAAAGGGTGCCTGATAGTTATTGGGTTTATTGCTGGCTACCAAAACCCTACTGGCCTCCAGCCTGTTAAAGCAGAGTTATTGCCAGCAAAACTGTTGAAGAAGTCTGCCAGCATCCGGGGTTTCTTCTTGAACCATTACCTTTCCAAATACAAAGTGGCTCTGAAGGACTTGCTCGAGATGTATGAAAGAGGAGACCTGGTTTGTGAGGTGGACTTTGGAGACATGTCTCCGGAGGGCAAGTTCACTGGCTTGGAGTCTGTATTCCGTGCTGTAGATTACATGTACATGGGAAAAAACATTGGAAAAATTGTAGTTGAATTACCTCACTCTGTCAACAGTAAGCTGTAAAAACAGAACAATGATATAAATCAGCAGAGAGAAAATGGGCACTTTATGCCTCAGAATTACTAGAAACAATTTAATTTTTTTTAAATTTAGTAATGGATACTATATTAAAAAACAGCATTAAGGTGTTAATAAAAGTTTTGTGTTTTCTTTTTTTTTCGTTTCTTATGAGTACTTAAATCAGTGGCTGTAGCATGGACGTAATGGGCCTGTGTTTGATTCTGTCACTTAGGCTAGTGTGAGACAAGAATATTGTTCTTGACAGAATAAGTCTTAATGTAGGGGCAGATTTAGTCTGTCAGACTGGCTTGATAGGACTTTATATACAGTTCAGCTCAGAAAAAAAAATACCTTTTAATAATTTTGATTCCCTGATTAAAAATAAAATACAACAGGACTAAGTAACCAGTTCTATCTTATGGTGGCTCTATTAATCTCCTGAAGTTTCTGGAAAAAAAAATTATTCTCTTGATTGTGTGTCACAAACACGATAATCATAGTTCAGTTGCACCATGGATCATAGTGATACTCCTTGACTGGTTATATAGAGAAATTTCTGACATGTCCGTAATATTAATATTAAGCAACTTGACTTTTTTCTTTTTTTTTTTTAATGATGTCTTTCATAACTATAAGCAACTGTGCAATTTTCTTTTAAATCTTTAACGACAAGTTGCAGCATAATCTCATTTTCTTGCCTTTTCATTTGCTACTGTTACTGTTTACTGTTCTTCCCCCCCCCCTTACTGAAGTGGGGTTTTGAGCCATGTTCACGTGTGTTCAGGTACTGTACATTTTTTTTAAGATTTAATAAAGTTTAAAAAGCTATTTAAATATTTGTGGCATTTATTCATATTGATACGGTTCTTGCCAACTAGCTCCTCTGTAGATAATCACTGTGTCGTAGAGTTCTTTGATGATTCTTGATGTGACTTCCCATATCAGGCTGCTACTTGTACTTCTACCAAATATTGCTTCTGCAGAAGCCCTGTTACAAAGAGCAAGGCCATTTTAAATCTACAATCACAGAACCTCGTACGTGTGCTGATGCTCAGTCATAGATTATCTAGGGAGTGCAGTTAAAAGGTTTTGTAAAGTTTTGAAAATTCTTCCTCACTTAATAGATACTGTTAACAGTACATACATTGGGAATTCCAGCTAGAAGTGTAAGATTTTCCAAAACAATAAAATACTTTAAGCTGTGCTTGCTCTTCATCTTTTTTCCGTAGCAAATGTTTAAGATCTTCAAGGCTGATTTTGCCACATCCTTTGAAATACATACATTTGTATGCAGTTGGAGAGATGGAAAATTCCTAAGATCCTATGCCTAATAATAAATGTAATGATAGGCTGATAATGTCTAGGGGTTGAAGGAAAAATCCAGGGTAAACTTAATCTTGGGACGTTATTCAGGACTGACTGTACATGACATTTTAAAAAGTAACATGTAGGAAAAACATTTTGTTCAGTGGTACAGGCAGTAGAAAAA